GGACAACATAGGAAGATCATCCATGATCCGTTTAAAAGGCTCGAGGGGCCAAATGCTCTAATCCTGCTCCTATTCCCCATGTTCCAATGTTCCCATGAAGAAATTTTCTACAAATGGTTTGGGGTTTTATTCCGACTCATGTCCAGAATGTGGTGCTATGGTAAAGCTGCAGTTATAACTCACCCATTTCCCGGGAAGGCAGTGGTAGCCTTTCTTCCGGAAATATAGGAAGTCGGACGAGGATTAGGCCACTCAGCCCTTTGCTCCTGTTCCACTATTCAATATGAACATGGTAGATGTTCTTCCTGCAATACTGCAGCGTGGGTGGTAGAACTCCTGACCTTTGTAGCTGGTGAATGCAATTGAGTAATTAATATGCTATTATCACTGAGTTGGTTGGCTCAGTTGGCTGGATGGCTGATCTGTGATGCCAACAGCGTGGGTTCTGTTCCCATATTGGCTAAGGTTATGGCAAAGGACTCTCCTTCTCAACCTCTCCCCTCACCTGAAGCGTGGTGACTGCCATCAGCTTTCTCTCTGTATTAGGAGAGCACCCTATGGTCTGGTAGGACCATAGTGACATTACTTTCTGTAATTACTCGGTAAAGAGTCACATATAGGCCAGATGGGGTTAAGTTCCAAGGATTCTTACCCTAAACAACAACAATAACTATTACTTGCATTTACACATCATCTTTAACATAGAAAAATATGCCGAGTGTGTCACAAGAACGTTATTAGACACAATTTAACACCAAAACACATACTTATTAGAACAGGTCATGAAAAACTTGAACACGAAAATAGATTTTAAGGAATAACTTCAATGAGGAGATAGAGGTAAGAAGACACAGAGGTTTATGGGTGGAATTTCAGAGCTTAGAGCTGAGGCAAAGCTACCAGTTGTAGTGCAATTAAAATTGGAGTTGAGAAAACGCCAGAATTGGTAGAATGCAGAGATCTCAGATGGTTGTAGAGCTGGGGAGTTTACAGAGATGTGAATGGGCTGGGACACGGTGGGATTTGACTGATCCTTGCACACTGTTAGGGCAAGTTTGTCCATTCTTAAGAGGCAAAAACTGCATACAGTCCCCCAGGAGTACATTATTAATGATTTGTATAATTGAATTAAGACTTCATTTCTCTTATACACCATTCTTTCTTTAACTGAAGTTAACGTACCATTTGTCTTCCTAATTTCTCACTCAACCTACATTTTAACTTTGTCTTTCACAAACAGGACACCCAAGTCTTTTTAAACTTCTCTATCTCCATCCACTTAAAAAAAATTCTGCTTTTTAGATGTTTTCCTACCAATGTGGATGATTTCACATTTGGCCATATTCTTATCTACCTACAGTATGTTTACTTACTCAAGAGACTGGGAGGAGTGTCCAGTGACTCATTTCTAACAAACACCAGGACATCGCTTGACTGGTGGTGAGAAGGCCTTTACTTGTGAGATCCTTCATGCACACCTGGTCAGTCTGCACCACCACATGCTGCCCTCGAAGTGGCTGTGAGGTGGGAGGGAGAGGGTTTCGAGACTGTCACACATCTCCTTCTGGAACGTGCCTTTGCAAAGGAAGTCTGGAGGAAGATGCAATGGTTTGTGTCGAGGTTCATCCCAAGCAGATCCGTGATGCGGGAATCTGTCCTTTATGGTCTGTTCCCCGGCATGCAGACGGAAACAAACATACTGCGCCTGGAGGACCATCACCTCAGTGAAAGATGCTCTTTGGTCTGCCTGAAACATGTTGGTCTTCCAGAGCAAGGTGCTGACCCTGACCGAATGTTGCAGACTGGGCACATTCCAAGGTCCAGGACCATGTGCTGAGGAAT